TCTCTAAATTTCCTCCCTATATACTATAGAAGACCTCACAACAATCAGGTAAATTTAAATTACCACCTTACACAAAATATTCATTTGCACAAAATACTTCTCTATATACAAAATAATACATTCTTACATTTTCCTTTCTTTCTCTTTCATCTTCCTTCTCTTCTTTTATTTTCCCCTTTTCTTCTCTACTGCTCTTCTCAATTTTTTTTTCTAGGCAATCTCCTCTATAATTCCTTTGCCAACTGGCCCCAAACCATGGCTTCTCAGACTACAGCATGCGAAATAGAGGCTGCTATGAAAAAAATGATGAAATGCGGAGGATTTTGATAGCAGGGAAGGAATAAATTTGCTTAAATCATATAATTTACATAAATAACCTCACAAACTATTATTGCATGCACTCCATATGTCAATTTCAATACCCTTGCTGCACAATTTATTATAAACGAATAGTAATTTTGAATTTAAACTGTGAAAAAAAAATGCAAATGAGATTTAATTCCCTAACTTCTAATCCTTCACAAGTCAACATATAGTTTCATATGTTGAATTACTCCTCTTAATGAGTAGAACACAATAGCATTCTTATTGATGATTTTTGAAAAAGTTGAGATTTTGTGGTATTTTCAAATTGAGTCTAATATAGCATATACCTGAGCAAATTCAAGTTTGGCATCTGGGGCTTGGGACCTAGCAACAACAGTGTTAGATGAGAACATTTAAAAAACAATAACAAAAATAACATAAAATATTATTCTATGATTAAACGAGAGTATCTAAAGGATACTAAAAACAATGTTTTTGTGAATAAAATTTAAGATCTTAATATTTTGTGTGTATATAAGAAAGCTAATTTTATGTGAGAAAAGTAGTTAATGATATTAAAAATATTGTAAATGATGTATTTGAAGTATAAAAAAATTCTTAATAGTAAAAATGTCGGTGGTGGAATCAAATGTAAAAGAAAAGATAAAAAAAAAATGTTATAAAAATTTGTTTATATGTAAAAGCTCGAAAAATTAAGAAAGATAAAGAGACCCATAAGAGTTTAAGAAAGCAATATTCGATGCAACAAATTTAGCTTTTAATGATTTGTATAATATATTAGATATTAAGAACGCTGAAAGATATGTGTATAAGTGAGCCAAGAAGAGATATAAGAGAAGTGAGGATTTAGTTCAAGTGAAATGCATTAAGGATAAAGATTAAAAAGTATTTTTATTAGAAGAGAATATTCAACAAAGGTGGATAAGATATTTTGATAAAGTTTTCGATATAGATTATAAAAATATGATTGATTTTAGTGGCCTTAGCGCCTTAAATGAAAATAGAGATATTTGTTTTTATCGGCGCATTAGTGAAATTGAAGTTAAATACGGTTTAAAGAAAATGAAGGGTGGAAAAGTTGTTGGATCTAATGATATTTCAATAGAGATGTGAATATGTTTAAGAGATGAATGTATTGCTTAGCTTATGAAACTTTTTAATATTATTTTTGAAACAAACAAAGATGTCAGATGCGTTGAGGAGTATGTTGATTCCTATTTCTAAGAATAATGGAGATATACAAGAGTTCAAATTATAGAGGAATTAAGTTAATGTATCTATAGATTATGGCGTGATACTAATGTTTCTCAAAATCAATTTGAATTCATGCCAGGTAAGTCTACTATGGAAGCTATACATTTGTTCAAAGGTTTGGTAGTGAAGCATAGAGAGAATGAGGAGGATGCACATTTGATATTTATTGATTTAGAGAAAACATATGATAACTTTTCAAGAGAAGTGCTTTGGAGAGTTCTAGAAAAGAAAGAAGTAATAATACTTATATTCAAGTTATTAAGGATATTGCATATAGTAGTTGTTTTGTTTAAGCACATGGTGGTTTGACCAAGTATTTTCCTAATTCAATTGGATTATATCAAAGATCAGCTTTAAGTCCGTATCGTTTTTACTTTAGTCATGGATGTTTTCACTACACATTTGCAAGAGGATATATCATCATCAACAACAACAACAACATCAAGCTTTAATCCCCCTACGTGGGGTCGGCTACATGAATCCTTTTTCTCCATGTGTCCTATTAAAGGTCAAATTCTCGTTTAAATCTAATTAAGATAGGTCATTCCTAATATTTTCCAACCAAGTCTTTTTAGGTCTGCCTCTACCTTTTTTAACATAAGTCAAATCTTATACCTCTACTCTCCTAACCGGGTCATTGGAAGGCTGCCATTTTATGTGACCAAACTATCTAAGGCGACTCTCTCTAATCTTATCTTCTACTGGAGCTACTCCAACATTTTCACTTATATGCTCATTTCGTATCCTATCTCTAAGGGTAAAGCCACTCATCCACTTGAGCATCCTCATCTCTACCACACTTAACTTAGTATTATGCTTCTCTTTTAATGGCCAACATTCAGCACGAGGATATATCATGGTGTAGATTTTTTATTAATAATATTCTTCTTGTTGATAAGACTAGAGAGGGATTTGAAGAAAAACTTGAATTATAGAGATCAACCTTAGAGCCTAAAGGTTTTTATTTGAGTTGATCTAAAATCGAATATATGGAGTGTAATTTTAATAGTAATAGATTTACTGATGGGATTGTAATAATGGGTGATCAAGTCATTTAAAAGAGTGCAAATTTGTATATATATTGAGTCTTTTGTTCAAAGTGATGGTGAAATAGATGGGATATTATTAGTAGAATTCAAGTTGGATGGGTTAAAGTGGAGAAATGCATCGCATAGGACCCCTCACACTTAATGGAGAATTTTATGAGATGGTGGTGAGACTTGTAATACTTTATGATGTAGAATGTTGGCCATTAAAAGAGAAGCATAAAATTTAGTTAAGTGTTATAGTGATGAGGATACTCAGGTGGATGAGTGGCTTTACATTTAGAGATAGAATGCAAAACAAGTCTATATGTGAAAGATTGGAGTAGCTGTGGTGGCAAATAAAATTAGAGAGAGTTGCCTTAGATGGTTTAGTCACATAAAAGATCGGCTTTCCGATGAATCGCTTAGAAGAGTAGATGTATTATATCCTACTTACGATAAAAAATGTAGAGGTAAACCTAAAATGACTTGGTCTGAAAATATTAGAAATGATTTTTTTTATTAGATTTAAATGAGAATTTGACTCTTAATAGGACAAAATAAAGAAAAAGGATTCATACAGCCGACCTAAATAGTGAGATAAAAAGCTTGATATTGTTGTTGTTGTTATGGTGGTTATTACAAATTATAAGTATCAAGGATGGCCAAACATTTTCTTATGATGATTTGGCTCGGTGTTAATTAAGAAAAAAATTCATTAATAAATGTTCACAATAAAAAAAGTAATTAATGAACAACTTTTCTTTGATCACACCAGTTTTTTCACTATTAATATGAGTCTTGCAATATTATTAAGACATCAGTTATTTTTAAAAAATGCATGTTGTCAACACTAGCAAAATCATGATTGGCCCACTCGAGGCTCATATATTTAATAGTTATTTGTGTGATTGCTGTAGTAAATTAAAATTTTTGCATATATAACAAATAAGATTATTAATAGAATTCATTCAAAATTTTAAATTTCTTTTGATCTATGCAATCTTGAACATTTGAGTTCTAATTCATATATTTACTATTTCATTAAAAGAAAGTAAGTTGTGTCTTGCTTATTAGTTTGTTTTCTATTGATCCTAAGTTTGCTTCCGGAGAAGAATTGCAAGAATAATTGAACAAATTTAGAAAAGCTAGGGTTACGTCTTAGGCCTATATAGACTTTTACTAAATTAAAACTAAATAAACCTATTAAAAATCAACTAAAAATTTTGTATTTCATATTTTTTATCCTGGTGCGTTGACTTGTGTCTTCTATGAATGTAGTCTTCAAATTCATCAATTTTGCAGGCATGGTTGACTCACCCTCATCTTGTAGATTTCTAACTTTTGCAATGGTTGTTTTATCCTCTTATCTAGTGTCCATATGTTACCACCAGTGATTTTTTGTTAACATTGTATATTGATACTAGTTGTATGTTATGATATGTGCTTAGATGGACATACCCTTGTATATATGCATCACAAAACCATTGTTCTGAGTCACAAGCCTAAATAAGAAAGGTTGAGAGTTAATGTTAGATTGACAACTAATTGAAAATTTTCTCGATTCCTTTGAGATTGAGTCCTAAATAGACACTTGCACTAAGGTACTTCATAAAAGCACATGTCATGATCTAATTTGGTTATGGTGAGAAGTGGAGAAGGGTTGACTTGGTCATTAATTGCATTTGTCATTTCATAATTTAACTCTGATAAGAAGCAAGAAAAATGTGTTAGAACATGACACCTCACAGTCTAACCTGATTGTACTGAAAGGCTAAGGGTTGATTAGGTTCACAACTAGGTTAATTTTTGCCGTATTGAAATTTGGACAATTTAAATAGGACTGTTAGACAGCTACTAGATGCTAAGAATGCATATTGTATATGTTTGCATGAATCTGAATAAAAGGAGAACTATGCAAAGACATTGAGAAATCATATAAACTTTAGATATTTGGAAGGTCAATAATATGGATGAGCTCTGGATAGCAGCATTATTATCTAGATAGTGGTTTATTGAGCTAAATTATGGTTTTTATAAAATTCAGTAGTTTTACTTGCAATAGCCTTACTTATATAACGCATTGTTATCTAGAATAATCAATGCCAATTCTTCCTCTTGACCGTTTTTCTTACTATGTTATAGCCATCAACATTAAGGCAATCTCGATATGCATTTGATCCGGATACTATCTAGATTACCTTAATTATTATATTGAAATTACCTTAACCTCAGTTTTAGCAGTAAATTAAAATCTTTGAATGCTATCTGCACAATGTTGAAGCAAACAACTGTATTATTGTCTAAGTACTACTAGAAAACATTGAACGAAACTCTAGATGTATGATATGGAATTATGTTAATTTTTTTCAACTATTGGTTATCGCTTTGCAGACTTTAATTGCAAATCGGAGTGATATGGTTGTAATGTCTAGTGATGGGCCCCTCAATGCTTATGTCAACCCGCATGGCTATGTGCATGAAATCATAACTGTATACAATGCCACTGGGCTTGCTCTCATTGGTTCACCTGACAAGGAGCATAGCTGGTTTCCTGGGTATTCATCCTTCTTTCTACCGAAATACATCTTACTTGATTTACTTAGCATAACTGATAATCTAGAAGCAGAGCTTGAGGGTTTTTTTTTCTGAGTTCAGACTCTTATGAGTTTTATTATTGTCTTTCTGTTTGTACAGATATGCTTGGACTATAACCAATTGTGCTCACTGTGAAAAGAACATGGGCTGGCTGTTCACCGCAACTAAGAAGAAACTGCTTCCCAAATCCTTTTGGGGGATCCGTAGTTCTCAAGTTGTTGATGATACCATGCTAGACTAAAGCTAAGAAGAGAAAATATGAGTAGCATTGCTGGTTGCAGCTGGTGAAGATAAGGTATTACTGTTGATATTACTTGATTGTTGTACTGTGATGACCCAAGAATTTGTGGGATGGTCCTTTTGATTAGCTGCTTTGTAATGGCAACTCGTGAGTGGAGGGGTTAAATGCTTAGTGGATCCTAGTTCTCCTAGGCAGCCTAGGAAGATGACGTAGTTCGGATTTTTTTTTTTTGTTGAATTTGAATCCATTTTAGTAGTTGTTGAAAAAATGTACAGTTGCTTTTCTCTATGGATCAATCATGTTATCATTAATTATGTCAAAATTGATAGGGCTGAGTTTGTTAGGGATCTTTCATATCCCTTTTGTCATAATTTTTAGCTTGTCTTTTTTTTTTTTTGGCTTTCAATATTATTTTCTTAGACATATGATCAAGTACGGGCTTTCTTTGGCTCCGAACAATTGAGTCGTTTAATATGAGCTGCTGGAGTTTAAGCGGTTGAAATTTAAAGTATCCTATTAAGATACAGTTCTTAAATTGTTGTTGAAAATTAATTTAACAAGCATATAAAACAAGGCCCAAGTTGATAAATTTGGTTTGATGTCACCAAAGCCATCTTGGATATGCCTAGAGTTTGGACAACTTGCAGAATATCAGAAGTTTTTTAGTAGCATTCGACCAAGCTAATGGTTTTACTTTATTATCAGTAAGGATTTTTATTTGTTGATATTTTTTTAAACTATTAAAAGTATCATTATGTATTATTTGAATTTTGTATAATCTGAATATAATGTCATTTAGCACTAAATTCTTGCTTGAATTTATAAGTAGGGGTTAGTAGGAATGTTTGAAGTGTCAAGTTGTTTATACGTAAGTCTTGTGTTTTTTACATATAAAAATAAAATTTTAGAGTTTCTCATTTTAGATTTTATTTTTTGTTCTATTTGTTTATTCTTGTCAGTAAAATTTTGGTGTTTATTATGAATAATTTTTTATTCAATATTCTCTGATATATGATAAGCATAAGTTTGTCATGAATTGAATCTCGTGTAATGTGAGCTGTAGAACAACAAAATTGAGAAGATTTAATGAATATGGGTGGTCCACCAACAAGAGCATCGAAAAAACATTACAATTCTGCATTGTAGACTTTAATCATAGGAGCAAGTTGAAGACTCTTATCTAGATTATTTTATTTGTGTTATCTACTTAATTATATATGTGAAAATTTAATGTGATATTGTAATTGCATGTGTAAAACTTGTCTTTGCTTGTGGATTTTTTGTGTTAAATAGTTAGTAGAAGGCACTTAATTAATTTTAGTAAGTGGTTCATGCATGGAGTGAGTGGCTAAACATACAATGAGCTAGGGAGTGTAGTGGTTGGCCAAGAACGAAAAAAATGGGTTGTTGTGACATCTCCAAATTCACCTGTTCTGACTTGATTTGAAATAGATAAATGTTTGAATTTTTATATTTTGAACTCATTTGTATGTATTTAGGAGTTATTTCTGTATATGAAAAAGGTATGCATGTATTTTAGAATGTCTCAATGGTTTGAGTGCATATTAGAAAATTTTGATTTTTTTTTCTTCGGAGGGCCTAGGTGTTGGGTGTCCTGTCGCTATGATGCTGGACAGTGACATCTGGGTGTCAAATAGTGACATTGTAATTTTTGAAATTTCAAATTTCAACTAGTGGTGCGGTGCTCTAACAGTGGCGGTGCCTAGGCTTTGGACCAAACTCTGCACTTATTCACTAAACTATTTCATTTGATCATTTGGACAGTCGAAGTAGATAGATAAAGGAAAGGATTTTGGAGAGAGGAGTCAGATTTGGGCCTCTTCGACTTATTTTTAGCAACCAGTTCAAAAAGTTGTTCAAATTGAGATAGGCCATATTATGTCTATCTCAATTTTTAAAAATATACAATTTTTTCAAAATTTAAAATTAAATTTATATTTTTGTTATATAAAAACAAGAATAATTTTGCAGTGGTAAAACTTTCATTGCTTAACATTTAAATATGTTATAGAGATTGAGATTTTAAATATTTCCAAAAAAAAATTTGCCGAGAGTTTTGAAATTTATGTGGTTTTTTTTTAAATAGAAAATAATTCGAACTCTGAAAAATAGTTTGGTAATATAATTAAAGTTTTAAAATATGATTTTACACAAGCCATGATAATTTTGTTATATTTTGAAACAATGGATTTTTGTTTAATAAGATTTTCGTTGCTTACCATTATAAAAATTTGTGCAATTCTAATATGTGTTGAATTATGCTTTAAATTATTATAATGTGATGAAAAATGTGTTTATATGAATGAATTAAGTGATATTGAATAGTTTTAATGTAAAAAATGTTTGTTGGGAGATATAAAGGGACAATACTATGAGATTCTATCTGGGATTAATAATCTGAATATGAAACTCTTTGGAAATATATATATATATATGTTGGGGGTTATAAGGGGTCAGAATCATTTAAGATTTAGTGTGAAAGAGAGGAAAAATTTGTTAGGAGTCATAAGATGCTAGAATTCCTTGAAATTTTATTTGGGGCTGGAGAAATCTGTTATGTTATGCTCTCATATATGAATTCTCTTATGATATGAAATTTTAATTTATTTAATTTTTGTGTTATTATTACTTTTCTTAACTAAATGCTTCATTATATTGTATTTACTAATTCTAAAAAATATTAAATAAATTAAATAATAAAAAATTTAGATCGATGTTTATGGCTTACTAAGTTGTTTTAGCTCAACCTTGCTGCAGGCTTTGCAAGAGAGAGAAGATCCACAATTCAAGGAAGGATTTGGGAAGAGAATTTGAAGATTTTGGGTGCAAAGATAGGAGATGGAAGAAGGTGGCCGGTCATCTATGGATGACCGGAACACCAAATCCTTTTTATCTACCGCGAGTCCAATTATGTTGGATTCAAAAGGTAGATTCTCCTTCAAACGCATCTCACCTCATAATCTTCGTGTTTTAGAATCTCCTCTTGTTATCAAAGAGGGGGAGAAAAATTTTGTTAGGAGTCATAAGAGGCTAGAATTACTTGAAATTTTATTTGGGGCCGTAGAAATCTGTTATGTTATGTTCCCAGATATGAATTCTCTTATGATATGAAATTTCAATTTATTTAATTGTTGTGTTATTATTACTTTTCTTAACTCAATGATTCATTATATTATATTTAATAATTCTAAAAAATATTAAATAATTAAATAATAAAAAATTTAGATCGATGTTTATGGCTTACTAAGTTGTTTTAGCTCATTGTGATTTTGCACTATTTTCAAAATCTAGGAAAGGAAAGGAGCCTCTTGATTAGTAGTTTAGTATATGATCTGAGTTTGTATAAGTATTCCTCTTTTTTTTTTTAATAGTCATGATTAGTTTTTTTTTATATTTTTCTCTATTCTCTAGTATGTAACCATATATTGTATTGTAGATCTTGTATATATATTTTGATGAAATGAAATAGATGTTATGGATAAGTTTTTGTTCATTACTCTTGATATTTTTAGTAGCTTTGTAGTCCATGATTTGTTTTAAAATTTAAACTAGAAGAAAAAAATCTAAAAAAAAAAATTAAAACTAGATCTTAAGATTTGCTTGTCATAACTCAACACGATAAGATTTATCCCATAAATGAGTTTTACTTGGTTGGGTTGTGACAAACTTTTGATTGTATCAGAGCAATAATTTTGGAAATTGTTTGTAAAATAGAGCTGTAAAAATTTATTTGCAAGTCAAGTAGGATTGTTTTGAGTCTGTTTGGCTGTTCATCTCTATTTTATTTTCAATGTCAATGTATGTTCATTTACATATTTTGTATGATATATGTATATGTTAGACCCAAATATGATAGATGGGCTGAGTACCAATCAGGAAGCACTTGTATATAGTATGGCTCCGACAGTGAGTTTTGATATAATTTCTCATTATCCTATTTTGATAGTCCAAATGATGTGCAAAGCATAGAATAGAGTTTCTGTTGTACAATCTAGTGATATAGATAAATATTTGTAGATATTTTTTATGATTGAAGTCTCTAAGATTTGAGGTCATTTGTTAGCCCTGAGTAGTAGAGGACTAGTTAAGAAGGCTAGATAACACATTTGATGGTCCTAGGGGAAAGCAGTATTAGCCATCTTTCTATTAAATGGTGAGGAAAAGGGTTGGTGGATGAGCCAACAGGAGGAGAAATTTTAAGCGAAGTTGAATTCTTCGATTAGCTGGGAGTTATTTGATGTATTTCAAACTTAGTTTGTACCGCCTTTTGCACGTTAGTAAATACATGCTACTTTTTTGACATTGATTCACGGGTGCAGGATAGCTATATTGTATGAGGCAGAGTTTATAGCTTTAGTTAAATATGCTTCACATCTAGTTAGCACTACTGCAGAGAAGTGCTTTAGATTTCTGAGAAGACTTTAAGATAGTCTAAGACAACCACTTGTTCCATTACACATTTCTAATTTTTTGGAGCTTATGGAGAGAGCCCAATAATAAATAATGATATGATAGTTACTAAGAAGTTGTGGACTACTAGTAGGAAGATGTTTAATGGAGAGACATCTAGTAGTGAATTTTTTAGGAATAATACTAGATTGGATCGGGAGAGTTCAGGAGAAGGGGATTGTCCATAGGAATTTTTGACAGTGGCAACATGGCTAGTTCTGGTTCTGTTAATGAAGCACTTATGTGTTTTAGTTATGCTAGTCAATATTCTAGTCAGTGATACAGGATGGCTGGATCTAATAGTTTCATTTCATATATTTATTGAAACTTCTTCTAGTATAGGTAGTGGACTTGGTTTTATGGTAGGCTTAGTTGTAGGTAGTCTGTCTATAGGTTAAAGAGAGAGGTTAATTACTCTAGCTCTAGTTCAGCCATGTTTGTATAGTTTGACTCAAGAGGAGGCATATGATACTCCTGATGTTGTGACATGTATGGCTTACATTTCTGATCATCCATATCATATTTATTTGATTATGGAGTCATTCATTCATTTTTTTTTTAGTCTTTTCTTGATTTACTACACTTACCTTCGATTTATTGCCTTTTTTCTATATGTTACCTTATGACTAAAGATGATATGATAGTTAGTAAGTTTATTTTTGTGTTATTAAAATTTCTGATAGGAAGTAGAGGTCTTGTTTAATTTTACTACCTATTTTGAAATTTGATATTATTTTAGGCAAGGATTGATTAAGTCGGTATGAGGCTTAAATTAATTGCTTGAACAAGCAAGTCATATTATTTATGGGTAGTGATAGTTATTTATTTTACGGTGTTAGAGAAGTTTTATTATGTTTGATTTCTATTATAAAAGCATATTGATTATGATAAATGGGCTGCA